CACACTTTAAAACAACACACATTATTGAACATAATACTGCACATTAATGTATTTGCAGTAACGCACCGCACTGTCTCCACTGAAATGGGTGACAAAGTGCTCCTCCTAGTTGACGTTTATATCAGTTTTCTGTTGCTACCTTGTGGGCTTGTGTGTGCCCGAGAACAATATTTCTCCAACATGTCTGCCACTCAGTTTTACTGTGCCCACTAGTACCTGCTCTCTCTGGCCACTTTTTGTCACTGCCCTTGCAGTTATTCCACATACAACTGTGGCAGTCTTTTGATGCTTAGCTTAGAAGCCTCTTAAGTGGGTAAATGGAGTGTAAGAACAGACATTCAGGTTTTTGCACAATAAAAGAAAACCTGCATACCTTCCTACATTTCCTTATGAGATGAGAAAGAGGGACACCTTCCAGCACAATGGAAGGAATTTATGAATTTGTTTGCGAATGTCATGCTAACTAAACTGGAAGGCGTGTGTCCGTTTCTACTGTACGATCTGCCTGTCTAAGATGGGCAGATCTTACGTTTGTTTAATTAAGAGAATTGTACGATTGTCGGCGGGTTTGTGGCCTGCACGTAAGACAAATGCCGCACGGGCCGGTGTGCGCAAGAGCACACTGCCCGTTCAGCATTGCGGTCATCGCAAGCCCGCCCCTCAGGGGGGCGGGCTTGCGATGATCGCAAGTACGATCTGCCTGTCCGAAATGGGCAGATCGTACGTTTTTTTAATTAACTTACAACCATCGCAAGACAAAAGTCTTGCGATGGTTGTAAGGTGTATGGGGACCTTAAGATACAATTTAGAGACAATTGTCAATATGAAGGCATTTAAGACTGAAACATTAACTAGGATAATAAATCTGTTTCTGTTGCTATATGCACTAGAAACAAGAGATACGACGGTGTAAAAGATGCTGATGATGTGACCAAATTGATAAATTCCCCCCAATGTATTTAGGCAATGGACACACCTTTGCCATGCCTCTGACCAGAAGGAATTTATATACCAAAAATTATTGGGTAAATCCAGAATAGTTTCTGTCCACTATTACTTTTCTTTTTGAAATAGCAAACAAGATAATGTTAAATAAGAAGAAGGTTTTAGTGCCGGATAACACATTTGTTAGTTAAATAGAACATTTTCATAGCTATCTGTACATCAGACCAAAAAGAGGGACATCTGCAGGGAAACGAGGGACAGAGGGACTTGGCTCCAAGTTGGGAGCTAACTTGTACTGCGTGAAATATGAAAGAGCCATTCCTGCCCTTCTGGAAATGCATTTGCTTGGCTGTCTCTGGCTTAAGTACTTTCATACACTGACCTTGAACTTGCATGCAGATCAAGTCAGAACATTTTGTTGTAATACAGTTTTATCGTGCAGTCTTATGTCAATCTGTAAACATTTAGAATTCTTTGCTATTACTTTGGACAGTTAGCTAAAGAGAAAGCTTGTCGTTGTCTACGCATTAGCAGTTTTGAGTCAGCAAAGAAATAGAAATATATCTAAATATGGAAGGCAGGACACAGTGCTTTGAGTATCATATTGTACGCTGTGATATTGTACCTTCTTCAGAACCGTCATGACATGCTTCTAGTAGAGCCTCTCAACAGACTTTTACAAGACAAGTGGGATCGCTTTGTCAAACGTGTATTCTACTTTAACTTCCTGATGTATGTGGCATATATCACCATCTTCACCATAGCTGCCTACTACAGACCAGTGCAGGGCGACGTAAGTCCATGTTCATCAGAATTGTTATATTATTATTGACATTTATTGGTAGTGGTGATTTATAATATTAAGAGCCATTTTCTTTCTGTTCCTTAGCCCCCATTTCCAGTAGATAGCATGCTTCGTACCACAGGTGAAGTGATCACGCTTTTAGGAGGAGTCTATTTCTTTTTTAGAGGGGTAAGTCATCGCACCTCAAAGATTTACAAATTATGAACTAGCTAGTAAGTGCTAAGTGCAATATTGAACCTACCCACTTCAAAACCCAATACTAGCTACAACTGGGTGGATAGTATTGGGTCTGACTGCATTTGTCTTTTTGCCTTATTAAATCCCTTATTGCATAAAATTAGGTAACTCTGTCATCTGGATATATTGCTGTGAAGCTTGCAATGCACGGTACAATCTCACTGTACAGTCTTTGTAAAATCTCCTTTAGATTTGCCAAAAAAAGTACAACGTAATTTTAGGACCTACTTAAAGGAGAACTATGGGGTTAGGGCTTTTCCCCATATTCTCCTAAGGGTAACAGGAGGACACAAACTAGCGTCCTCCCGTCACCCAAAGCTCAGTGTACCGCGAGCTACAGCTCGCGGTATACTGAGACGCCGCAGCTGAAACGGATTCCGACAATTATGTCTGGATCCACCCAGCTACGTGAGTGACAGCTGGCTCTGCCTATCTAGAGGCAGAGCCAGCTGTACCCTCCCCCGTCCGTTCCGCCAGTCAGCGCTGGAGGATCAGACAGGGGAGGGGGGAATCCAGTCGCTACCCTGTCACGGCTCTCTGCAGTGACAGGATCGAGAAGTGAGCGAACGCCGGTATGTGTTCACTCACTTCCCGATCTACTGAGCCGACCTGTGACAGTTTCATGAAAAGCACTCACCTCATAGTTCTCCTTTAACTATCCAATCCACTTCTATACAATCATTTAGGCCCTTGCACTACATATGTGTTAATAAATGTGAAGGAGATTCTACATTTAGATTGTAACATGTGTGGTGTTCTTATAATAGTGTACGGTAAAAATAGGTACATACAGCTATATATAATAAATGCATGGATGTTTATTTAATTCTACTCATTCATATTGCACTGACACTTTTTCCATAGCACCTGTCCATAGAACATTGAACCACTGAAACCACTCCTTTCCTCTGAAGGATCTTACAATCTGACCTCCATATTACAGACATATACACACACCACATGAGGGGAACTTACATAATGCATGACTTATGCAGAATACTGTAGGCAAGGGTTTGAACTCCTGTCAGGTTTTAGTGCTGCCTGTTTCTCTGTTGGGGAAGATTACTCTGTCCTGGTGACCACTGGCACTGGGCCTGGCAGTGAGGGAAAATCCAAACTTTTTAGTGATCTTTACATATGCTTAAACATATAAGTGCAAAAATTAATACAAAAACGTCAGTACAGAGAACCATTTGGCAGTTGGGAGGTGGAGCCTATTGTCAGTGGAGCCACAATCCACATAGCTGAAAGATGGTCTTCAGTGTGTCATCTTGTACTAGTTATGAGTTTTTTGCTTGCTTTTTCCTGGTTTCAATAGACCCTTGTTGGACATCTTTTGTGTTAATGTTTGCACTTATATTTTTTCAGATTATTTGCATATGCTGATTCTTATTATAATAACATTGTAAAAGTATTGTGGCGCTCATCACTAGAAACTCTAGTGCTCTGTTCTACTGACAAAATATTGTAACTCATTGTCAATTATTCATCGTTATGTATTATTGCCACAATAAAAATTGACATGCGAAAAAAAAAAGTAATGGGGTTTGTTTATCAAAATTTGACCCAGTAGCTGATTTGTAGTGTGTTTACATTATTTGAGGGTAAATATATCCTAATGTGCTTAGCACAATTAGGATATATTTACTCAACTCAGCTTGTTTTTAAAAAAAAAAAGTCAAGATGCCCCAGTAAGAAGTAATCTTCATGAATGTATCTGCTATTCCTGCAGGGTATTTGCGCCCTGATCAAAGCCTGCATGACAAACTCCCAATATTCTGCATAGCTTTGTCCTGTCCAGTTGCCAGGATGATCCAACCATTGGATTCTTGCCTCCAGCATCACAGGAGTGGGCACCATCTTATTCAGAGCCTTGTACAATAAATAACTTGGGGAATTTTTGATTCAAGAGCGTCACCATTATTATGGCCTTGTGGTAATGGAGCAGATACAAAAAACTTACAGGGTTATTAATAAAAGGGTGAGAAGTTTGGAGAAGGCAGGAGAAGTGAACAATCTAGGCCAACATAGCTGATTTGGAAAAATTATTCAATTCAGCTCACTTTCAGGGTCAGCTATGTTGTCCTAGATTGTTCACTTCTCCTGCCTTCTCCAAACTCTTCACCCTTTAGTGTATAACCCTGATAATGTTGTATCTAAGAGATATAAGAAGCCAGCAGATGATTTAAGTGAACTAACTTCAAGTTACAATTGCATTTTTTCTTGTTTTCTCAAATCTATGTATATTTTATTAAAGTGAAACTTGTAAAGTAAAATTCTTATTTTTGACTCATTTAGATCCAGTACTTCATTCACAGACGTCCAACTATAAAGGCATTAGTGACTGACAGCCACAGTGAAGTCTTGTTGTATGTAATACATTTTATCTATTTTTCACTTTTTTCTGAGTAATAGCAATAATTTCAAATTTATTTGGATACAGTGCTGAATGACTGAGTAATTGTCAAAGTATCACTGCATTGCAAACTGTAAAATGGTCAGGACAGATAGGGGTGTAACATGTTGGGCCCTAAAGAGGAACTTTACCCATATTCTTCAAAATAACAACAAAGGCACCTTTAGAAATGTTTAGTAATGACATCTACAAACACATACTTCTAGATAATTGAAGGCTTTAATTTTTTGCATACCTTATTTTTCTTTTCTTCCACAGTCTTCTGACAGTGGCCATTTTTAGTAAGGGCAGATTATTCTATCTCCCTTTACTTCCTGGAACTCACAATCTAATGCAGTGGCTATAGACTACCAAACCCAAAGCTCTGGATGCAAAAAAACAAGCCCCAGTACCAGTTCAACAGGACTTGTTTGTTTTCGAACTTATTGAAGCATCTACATTGTGTGTTTATAAATAAGAAGATAATTGTATTGTTAAAAGCTTTTGATGTTAAAGCCTATTTTGTGTATATTAGGTATTATCAGTAACAAAAATAATTTGTGCAGTGTGAATATTTTACAGTGGGGTCCAGAGCTGTTTTGCATGACCACTGACCATTTTATAAACACATGAGTTATTGCTTTGAGGTCTAAGATTGTTTGCTCACCTCCACTCTGGTGCTGTCACCTGTAGACTCACTGCACCCCAGTCAAGCGCCACTCATCCCTCTATGTTGAATGACGCCCCGCATCATCTAACCTACTTCCTGTACTCCTGGACAGTGTAGCATTCACACATTACATGAGCGCCACACTGTCCCGGAGGAAGGACCACCCACCGCTGGTGGAGATGAAGATCAGCCAGAAGACTGTGGGAAAAATGTAAGGATAATGCGATTTTTAAAAAGAAGTGGCAGCCGGGACTTCAGTGAAGGGGAGAAGGATTTTAAAGTAGATCTAAACCCAATCTCTTCCAACATCGAATATGAACTTTAATATGTGAATCTAATTTTAAAAGTAATTTTCAATTTTTGAAAATCTGCTGCTTTCGTTAAAAATAACCTGTTAATCCTGCTATGGAATTCCTTGTTCAGGTAGAGGGTGACAACATAGCTCCCAACTGTCCCTCATTTGGAGGGACTCTCCTTCTTTTGAAAATAATTCCCTCTTTCCTCTTTATATGTCCCTCTTTATGGTCTGAAGTATAGACCTCTATAAAATTTTAATTATTTAATGGTTTTACAATGCAGTAAACTTTTATTCAATTTCTAAAACATTGCATTTGCTATTTTGAAAAGGCAATCAATATTAAGGGGTTCATTTATAAAAGGTTGGACTGGCATATGCTGTTCGCACGGCACTAGCACCCCTAGATGACATGTATAGGAAATTCCTATACTTTCATAAACTAACCCCTATGGCTGTGAGTGGTGAAAAAACACTTGTGGGTTCAACCAATAACTTTTTACAGGTTAACTAATTATGGTCCCTGTAACTGGGGGTGTGAGAGAGGTGCAGCCTTTGGCTACATATATTGTACCAAAAGTTGTCCCTCTTTCCCATTTCAGAAAGTCGGTAGGTATGTGACTATGCTCTGGCCCATTACCAAATTGTGCTCCTACGTTGTCATCCTGTCACGAGGGCTTCTGTTGGAGACTATGGGGTCTATTCACAAAACTACCGAAGGATCTAGCCGTAGCTTCTGCTGATACTTTGGCTAGCTTCGGCCCCAAGACCCCTTCCGTTGAGTAGAACCGAAGGGCTGCTGTACGGGCTATTTACTTTAGCCCGTACAGCTCCCGAAGTTGGCCGAGGGGCTCAGTCGAGCCAAAGGCATATGCTTCAGCTCGACTGAGCCCAGGTGAGATTCGAAGCTGGACGAATGGCCTGCTTCTGACAGCTGGGCGGAGCCAGCCGTCATCTCACGGCTGGCTCCGGCCACTTGCAGGGAGATCAGAGTCCCTGGTTACAAGCTAACCAGGGATGCCCATCTGTCATTACACTGAGAACCCGGCTGAGCCGCTGTAAAATCACTGCGGCTCCGACGGGTTCTCAGTGTGCAATGACAGATGGGCGTCCCTGGTTACCTGGTAACCATGTAATACTGGGGGAACTGCAACATAAATGTAGCCGCATGAACATAACCATGTGTCATACGCAGAAAGGACGCTTGTCTGACACTTCGGACACAGCCTAATGTACGGCTCTATGCAAGTTACACAAAGTTACATTTGTCCAGACTGCGTTTTTATGCTTCTCCCTGATGCAACCCTGGCCAAACCTGCTCAGCGACATTCGGCTTTTCACTCACTGTTCGGCATGTATGAGAATAGGCTGAACAGCAGCGAGTAGCCTGCCGAAGGTTCATCTCAGCCAATCCATATGTTGAATCGGCTGAGTCGAACTCCTTCTACACTTCAGGTCGGCCGAACATGCTGGGCATGTTCGGCCGACCCGAAGCCACCCGATGCACGGCTGGTTTCAGCCGATATACGTCTGAAATCAGCCGTACAAGCCTGAAAACTCAGCTACCTGCGGCAGTTTTGTGAATAGACCCGTATGTTTTCCAAACATATAGCACAGGCATGGTTTACAAGACAACTCCAGTAGCTATAGACTACCAAGCCCAAAGCTCTGGACTACCAAGCCCAAAGCCTTTGTTGCCTTTAGGAAACCTAACCTGAGAAATGGCACACTGCCATTGCTGGAGTACATAGAAAATGACTGCAAAGAGAATGTAGGAGATAAGTAGCAGGGGGATGAAACAAAGAAAGAAAAAAAGGTTACAACAATAATATAATGCACGGTGTCCTTCATTTCCTGTTTACATTAACTTTAAAGCTTAAATCTGCCTCTTGTAAAAAATTAAGAAGCAGCTCTGGTGGTCTACACTTACCCCATCTCCGTTGCTGCCCTCCATAGCCTCACCCTCTGACCAATGCAGCACTGCTCATCTTCTGGGTTGAATTATACCTAGCTCAGAGTGTCAAGGTGCTGGTCCCACCCAGGACTCATAGGAGAATCCTGCAGACAGTGGCATCATATCATTACATGATGTCAATCTCTGCAGTATTTAGGGCCACCATTGGTGGAAGTAAAGGGTAAAGGGGATCTGTGAGGTCACTGGACTGAATATACCTAGAAAGTATGCATACATGCCGTAGGCAGCCCAGTGAACAACCGATTCAAGGTGAAGTGAGCCGAACACTGTTCGGCTATTCACTTCAGGCTTGTACGGCTGATTTCAGACGTATATCGGCTGAAATCAGCCGTGCATCGGGTGGCTTCGGGTCGGCCAAACATGCTCAGCATGTTCGGCCGACCTGAAGTGCAGAAGGAGTTTGACTCAGCCGATCCAACATCTGGATCGGCCGAACCGAACCTCCGGCAGGCTACTCGCTGCTGTTCGGCCTATTCTCATAGATGCCAACAGCAGTGAGTGAATAGCTGAATGCCGCTGAGCAGCATTCAGCTCGGCTATTCTGCTCGGTAACTCTGTGGTACCGAGCAGAATAGAAAAACAGTTAAAAAAGAAGAAAAAACTAAAATAGAAAACGATTGGGTGGAGCTAGCCGTGACAGCTAGCTCCGCCCAACTGTTTTCTATTGGCCGGGACCAGCTCTCATTAGAATTAGAGCTTAGGAGAGCCGGCGGGGATATGAAAGCCGACTCTGCTAAGCTCTCATCCTAATGACAGAACAGCGTCTGCTGGTTGCCTTAATGCTGTTCTGTCATTAAGATGAGAGCTTAGCAGAGTCAGCTTTCATATCACTGCCGGCTCTCCTAAGCTCTCGTCGTAATGACACATGGGCGTCCCTGGTTACCTAGTAACCAGGGAAGCCTTCGGTCATTACACACAGAACCCGGCGGAGCTACTGTGATTTTACAGCAGCTCCTACGGGTTCTCAGTGTAATGATAGAACGGCGTCTCTGGTTACCTGGTAACCAGGGACGCTGATCTCTCTGAAAGTGGGCGGAGCCAGCCGTGAGATGACGGCTGGCCCCGCCCAGCTGTCAGAAGCAGGCCGTTCGGCCAGCTTCGAATTTTTCCTGGGCTCAGTCGAGCCGAAGCATATGCCTCCAGCTCAACTAAGCCCCTCGGCCAACTTCGGGGGCTGTACGGGTTATAGTAAATAGCCCGTACAGCAGCCCTGAACCAAAGGGTTCCTGGTGCCGAAGCTACCCGAAGGATCAGCCAATGCTATGGCTAGATCCTTCGGTAGCTTTGTAAATAGACCCCTTAATGTTGGGGGAGTACTAAAGAAAAGGTTGGGGACAGACAGGGAAAAAGGGGGGGGGGAGTGTAAGCTCAAATGCAATTACTCTTCACATAAAGTATTTCTTTTTTTTTTCCAGTTTTATTCAGTCTGTCTTTCTGCTGCTCTCTGCATTCCTTTACTGTCTTGGGCAACATGAATATGTGGCTTTTATTGTGATTTGTTTAGCCATGAGCTGGGTCAATGTCCTCTACTATACCAGGGGGTTCCAGCAAATGGGGATCTATGCTGTGATGATTGAGAAGGTCAGTGAAGCCATATTCAGTACAATGTATTTGATTAAATTTGCTATGTGTGATAACACAACTTTGTTTGTTTTGCTATAGTTGTATTTAATATTGTATTTATAAAAAATAGCAGGAGTTGGGACATGCCATCAACTGTAACCTGTGATTTTATCTCACGGTTAATGTCAGTATTAATGGAAGACTGCATGTGGAAACATACAGTATAGTAAACTGCTGAAACATGAAGTCTTTTTCTATATAGTATTGCACTGATTTGGCTGATATGTACTACAAGAGCAATAACCTAAGAATGAATGTGCTGCATGCAATCTGATTCTAGAGAACTTTCACTTTTTATGCAACTTAAATCATGTTCCCCCTGTGATCATATTACATTGTAGTATCAAGGATAACAAGGATAACAGCTTAGAGAGCAAAGCTCTCTAAGAAGTGATAAAACAATCACATACAGCTGACCACAGTCTTCACTTCAATAATGTTACTTTCTTTAGAATGTTATGTTTTACCTCCTGAACCTCTTTATGTCAGTTTATACATATTTTATTAGTTTCCAATCCTCTGCAAATTAGCATAATTTACACAGCAAACTGTGGTCAATGTCAATTGTATTGTAAGTTAAGTTTCTTTGTAAAAGGTTGAAGTTGTTCTCCTATCTTGTTGAGGAATATATGATGAGGATTTTTAGAACTATGTACATAAAATGTCAAAGAGAGAGAGATACATGTAAGTTCCCATTCACACCTTACAAATTAGCTATAAAACCCCCAACACAAGAAATCCCATGATTTTCAATGGCCCCTGTTCACACCTGAGTGTTCGGATGCCAGCAGCAAAACGCTGAGCGCAGAAAACAATATATGAGCTTCTTTTGGCAGTTTGCAGCTCATTTTTCCCCCATAGACTTTAATGGAAATGCCAGAAAACGTGTAAAACAAGCATTTTGCAAATTTCTGTGCTCGTTTTTTATCCATCGACCACAATGTCTCTCAATCTGTCAGCTAAAATGCGCATCTTCATATGCACGGGTCTAACATGCACAAAATGCGTGACAACACGCTAAACACACTAGACAAAAACACGCGCTAATATGTGGCCTAAAGACTGCTGCATTTTACTGTACATGAGACTGCTAAACTATCTAAACCCAAGAACGAAAATGTAATATATTGTAGGTTACTTGTCCTTAGATTTGGTGGTGGCATTAGTTTCCACTTTTTAGACTTATTTTCCTTTATTTTCATTTGGTGATTCTGCCAGTAGCACACTTCACTTCCGGTTGTAGGGTGACAACTTCCTGTATTTATGGAGAAGCAGCATTGTCTCCCTAAGCTGTTCTCTTGATTTGGACTACAAGCACTCCCCTACTCATTTCTGTAACATGGGGGTGTTCTTTAGTTTAGCAGCTAACTGGGAAAGCTGATAACACTGTTTCAGATTTTATTTTAGTGCACTGGGAGATTAAAGCATATTGAGGGGAATTTAGCAAAACTGGAGCAGACGAATACTGGAGCAGTTGTGCATGGAAACCAATCAGCTTCTCTCTTTCATTTTCAAATCTTAGCTGAACAAACTGAAGAGAGAAGCTGGTTGTCATGCACATCTGCTCCACTTTTTGACTGCTCTAGTTTTGATAAATTCCCCCCATTGGAGTTCTGTCAGGATCAGCAGGTATCCCTGTACTTGCTGAAAATTTACTTAGTCTGAAAAGCGATAATGAATGCAGCAACTCCATCTAAGGACTGGTAATCTCAATGTATTACAATTTTGTCCTTTGGTTTAGATATATATTAAAGATGACTGCCAAGTTGCTGGGCACCAGTACTTCCAAAAGAGACTTTAGACTGCTACCATGTTCTAGCTCAGTCACAAAGCAGGTTTTTTCTGCAAACTTTGCATTTTAACTAAGAAACCAAGCCAACCTCACTACTTGTATTAAACCCAACCTATCTTTATTTACAATGGATATTAGACCTATGACAATATTAGCCTTAGTTTATAAAATGTATAATCATTTTTTATTAACTATAATAATAATTAACCCCTTCGTGACTGACGACGTACAGTGTACGTCGCCAGCATCGGGGCTGTTTAAACAGACTCCCGGCGACTTTTGCCGCAAGAAGGGGTTAAATATTTTATTAACTTTGGGGTTCTAACAGGGGTGTCCCTTGCCTATTTGCCACAAAGACGCAGGGGGACGGGATGCTGATAGTGCACCCTAATCCTGGGGGAAGAGGGGGCAGGATGGCCGGTTGGAGCGCCCCGCTCAGCTCCTGGCAACCAGTGACTTCAGCTGAGCTGGCCACCGGCCAGAGTGTGCCAGGTTGCAAAGAGCTGGGTGGGGAGATGTGTACCACCATTATACATCTCCCTGGGAAGCTCTGGCCAGTTGGGGGTGGCAAGCACACTGCAAACATTGTGCAGCAGAACGGCCAAGCCACTCTGCCTGCCACCCCCCCAAAGAGATGCCACCTGAGGCAACAGCCTCAGGCTGCTACATTACAGGGATGGCACTGGGTTCTAACTAAATGGCTGTGTAAGTCTGACCTAGAGCACAAAATCCGGGTCACTACAAAGCATTTTGATAAAAGCAGGAAGTTGTAATAAAAGAAATCATTGTTATTCTCTTGCAGATGATTGTGAGAGATATGCTTCGCTTCATGCTTGTCTACATTCTGTTCCTTATCGGATTTGCGGCAGGTATGAGGAAGATTGTACTTTCTAAAAAGTGTGATCGGCTTTTCTGGTTCATCTCTTTGTAATATTCTGTGGTACAAAACATTCCTTATAATAACAATGCCAATAATTTTACAAATTACAGAGACATTAAATGGAAATGTTAGCTCTTTGTTTTAGTTAGGTACCAGAGAGTTGTGTACTAAATGGTCCCAAACACCTAAATAAGTGCTAAAAACCAATTAAATATACTGTGCCAACAGTTGACTACATTAGAGAACTGTTTTTTGTATACATTAGAAGGTCTTTTGTCTACATTAGAAGGTTCTTTATTAAGTAGTTAGGTGTAACATTGTATGAAGTGCTTTGTACGAAGAAGCTGGCCACTTCATCAGATGAGGTGTGTTATATATCCAATGAAGCTCCACGCCACTGAAGCTCTGGCTACCAGCTCCGAAAAGAGTGGTGACACACCTAATCTAATGAAGTGTGTCTAAGATGGCCTGCGTTTACAGGAATTGGGCTGGAAGAAGAGTGGCTACCATTGGAGAAGGAGATGGAGGATTGGCTACCAGCTCCAAAAGAGTGGTGAGACACCTAATCTGATGAATTGTGTCCAAGATGGCCTGGGCTCACAGGAATTGTGCTGGAAGAAGAGTGGCTACCACTGGAGAAGGAGATGGAGGATTAGCTACCAGCTCCAAAAGGAGTGATGACACACCTAATCTGATGAATTGTGTCCAAGATGGCCTGGGTTTACTGGAATTGGGCTGGAAGAAGAGTAGCTACCACTAGAGAAGGAGATGGAGGACACAAAGTAGGTTTGTAGTGCTTTGAAAACTTTACTTTAAAAAAAAAAAATTGAAAAACAGAAAAGGCATTGAACATATTTACTTTAATGAGCTTAGATCAGTTTGGAACATCACTCATTTTTTTGACTAGCTAACAATAACCAAAATTAATATTTCAGTTTTGGATGAGTACCTGTAGGTTAAATAGCATTTTGTCTTCCTATATGTATACTATCCAAGGGTGAACAAATTAATATGGAATTCAGGAGCCAGAGTGTCCAACCAGGAGCCAGCTCAAATGACAACAAGTAGAGAAAACCTCAACAGTTCGGCGCCAGCTGTAATTTATAAACAGTAGAAAGGCATCATGGCACACTCACAAGTCAGCATGTAAAAAAACTTGTCTCACCACTAAGGTTAATAACAGAGGTTTGGATACACGTCTTCTGCAGAAAATGTGAAAGCCGCACAGCCGCGCCAAGTCACACTCTTCTCACACTCTTTATAAGATTACTTGATGCAGAAGAATTGCAGTGTCCATCCAGTCATACTGCTGGTTGTCTTCTAAGACTTCAAATCCTAAATCCAAGTGGTCAGATATTGATTTGTTATTTTTCATGTTCTATTTTCTTAGTTAGCAATAACTTTTAGTTTCCTTATTTTTGTTCTGCAGCGCTGGTGACTCTTATTGAAGATGGAGACAGCACAAGGAATGAAACGAGCTATTCAAACACAAAACGTTGTTGCAAAGCAGATCCGGCCTCTTTCAACAGCTTGTACTTCACCTGCCAAGAACTGTTCAAATTTGCCATTGGGATGGGAGACCTGGAGTTTACTGAGAACTACAAGTACAAGACTATATTCGTCTTCCTACTGATTACATACGTCATTCTCACCTACATCCTCCTGCTGAACATGCTGATAGCTCTGATGGGGGAGACAGTGAACAAGATTGCTCAGGAGAGTAAAAGCATCTGGAAACTGCAAGTACTGAAGCTTTTGATTTATTTCCATCAAAATAGCTTAATATGTATGTGATACTTTTCTAGTGTAACATTTCTGGATTTTATTTTATTGATGGACAGCTTCTGAAATGTTAGCATGTAGTACTTTCTTATGTTTATTAAAGAAGAGCTCCAGGCATATAAGATCTTAAACCATGCAGTGGGGCTACCCCTGCACTGCAAGGGTTAACTGCTTGTTTTGTCTAGGGAGCTAAACGAACAAAGATATACTCACCTGAATCTCAGACCCCACTGGCTGTTTGTCCCTGCAGCCTTACTTCCACTCTGCTCTGCTGGTCTAAGAACTCCTGAGTCATCACGTCCTGTGCAGTTTATTGGACGTGAGGACGCCAAGGGACATTACACCATCTAGGCAGAGGGGGAGCAAGGCTGCGGGCACCAGTCTAGCAGCCAGTGGGATCTGAGATTTGGGTGACTATATCTTTGCTATTTTAGCTCCCTAGACAAAATGAGCAGTTAACCCTGAAATTGTTAAGATTTCATATGTCTAGAGTCTTCATTTAAAGCAGGTTTTACTTAAAGGAAACATGTAATGAGAGAAATAAAAATTGCCATTGCAGACCTCGTTCTGAAAAATGCAAGTGTCCTGTCTGTCTCTATTTGTGAGGGTCCATTCAAGCCAGCAGTGTGCACTATTGTGTGGCCAATGGTCTACACTGTTAGGAAGTGGTGCAATGTTTGCAGTTGAAGATGTTCTTTGTCCTTTTCATAAGCCAATATGGACTTTATTTCTGTGCTGTTCCTAACGGAATATATAACCAAACATTGGTGGAAGATGATATAATAAATTATTATTAGTACAATAAAAAGGAGACATTCCTTTGACCAGTCAACTGTTTGCTTAATGTTGTTACTTTAGATAGAGCTGGAAAGATTAAACCCCCAATCAAGTTGTTATAGCCGTAATATTCACCCTCCCTATCTGCCCTTGTGGCCACTGTTACCAAGAAAGAAAATAAAGAGAAAATCCGAACTTTTACAGTTGTAACCAGAACAAGTTCTGGTTAGAGAAATCATTCTCCAGTGATAACTGTCTGTTAGGGAATTTCCCAAATGGGATACAGACAGCAAAGAAAACCATTCCCAGCTTTATCCAAAAAATGTTAAGTGGCTATAGTTATAGTTACACTTGACCTGAGAGACAGAAACATATTCAGTGTTTTTGTTAATGATTCAACCAATTACATCAAATCAATAATGTGAAAAAATATTAAGGAATAATAACAATAATAAAAATAATAATAATAAAGCAATAGGGACCAAAGTAAAAAAAACAAACAGCTATGGAAACTATCCAAAAACAGTAGATATCTGTCTATTTTCTACTAGAAAATGACACAGCTACAATAAGATCTTTACTCCTCTGTCTAGGAGCATGCATACGAACTCAGAGATCAGACTAGTGTCTGTCATAATAGAGAACATATTGGCCAACAATATCCAACACAGCAGGGCTTCTTTTCCAAGGTTGTAGCTGTATCGGGGTGGCCTCTGCATTATTCGTTTCCCATTCAATGCCTCGTGGTTGTCTAAACCTGCAAAATAGCAGATATTATTGTTTATCTTTGTAAAGAGTAGAGAAGAATTAATATACTGTTAAGTTTTTATCTTCGTCTGTTACCCCATTAGGTAGCTATTCTGTCCTATTCTTCTGTCATTTCCTGTTATTCTGATGTTTGCACAAGAAATAACGGTTGCCGTTGTCACTGGGACAGAAAGGCACATCATTGTTCTAACCCTTATCCATGCTACTAAATATGTTTGTTGTCTATGTCCACATAGGAGAGTTTTTTGCATTACTTTCTGTCAAAAATTCCCTATTCTATCCATAAATAAATAAAATGTTTTGGCTAATTTGGGTTTTGAAGCTTAAGGCATATCTACAAAAAAAAATTATTGTAGGTTATGTATTCATTGAAAGATCATTACATCTGTTTTTATGTAGAACTATCATAGATACAGAGATCGGTCCTGATATCAGCCTGCTGTAATCTTCTTCACAGCAGCACTCAGACTGGGAGAAGAAAGGGGCAGAAGGGGGGTACAAGAGAAGTGATAACATTGTTGGTATGTGGCTTCTCCGTCATTGTCCAAACACAGACTGGGGGGCAGGATGGTGACCAAACTGTATTGTTTAAGTGCAGTTGAGGAAAGTGAGGTCACTAACCTTGCTGTGCTATCTGGTGGGGTGCCTAGAGCACAAGTCTAGATGAACACATTCACAAATTGCCACGTACCTTGGTATGAGCCAGAAGTGATGACAATAGCCTTCTCTTGCTGCTCTCGTCTGAGCACCACTGATAGTGGAACAGAAGGTGTAGGGACAGAGAGGGGCACGAGTGCCGACAGATGCGGGAGCTACTGAAGATTCCAGGACTGACAATGAAGGCAACTAGATACAGGAGTCAGCGGATGGAGACAACCATGATGCTGACAGCAGAGGGGACAGCAGCGATGCAGAATATTAGCAGTTAAGCAAAGGCAGGTTGGTAACTTGCGAGTGGCGCGGTACAGGAACAGTAGGCAGAAGCAGGGTGAAGGTACACAATCAGAAGACTGGAGTGAGATCAGATAATAAGCTGGGGTTGTAAGGGCAGGTGGAGATCAGCAGAGACAAGAGTCAATCCGAGTCACCACAGGGAGCAGGAACAGAGATACAGGGATACTTAGCGCTGCACATATGGCCTTAAATAGGCCCTTTGGCACCATGACTGGCAATGGGCATGTGCACGCTACCCTGTGTGCACTACGTTATGGGTACACATGTATGTCTTTGTCCACGTACAGGCGTGCGTAATATTGGCACCATAGAGTTTCACACGTGCATGTGCTTGTGCAGCAGCTCCAGCAGAAGATATCCTAGATAAGTTATCTCTACTCATTTAGCAGGTCTTTAGTATCCTATTAAGCAGCTCATTATACTTAGACTCATTTGTATTCATTTATTTCTTACAGAGGGCAATCACTATACTGGACATTGAAAAAAGTATGTTGAGCTACATCACAAACAGATTCCGATCTGGAAAATCTGTGCTGGTGGGATTAACTCCTGATGGCAAGGAGGATTACAGATGGTGCTTCAGGTAAATGTAATTTTATATAATGTCCGTCAATAACTGACACTGGGGTGGATCTCGACAGTAATGTCGGGATCCGTCCCGCTGCGGTGCTTACAGAATATCGCGGGCAATAGCCCGCGATATACTGAGCTTTCGGTCACGGGATGACACTAGTATATGTCCTCCCATGACCCTAAAGAGAACTATGGGGAAAAACACTGACCCCATAGTTCTCATAGTTCTCATTAGTGACAAATTACCTTAGTGTTTTTGAGTTGTTGTACAGAGGTGGCTTCTAGAGACATCAAACGTATCCATCCATTATCTCATTTTGGCAATCATTCTCACAAAAGAAACATGATCCATATTGGGTGGATGTGCTTGGTTGGTTCATTTTTGGAAGGGGTTGTGAGAAAAGGGTTGTGAAGGTTTGTAACACCTTCGATTCCGGTTTCCTTGCGAAATATGATGTGTGATTGATCATAGCTTGGAAATGTGCTGGCATAGTTAAGTAACAGCCACACCCCTCAGCACACACATCTTCACACAGACTTCTTTCGCAAAGGAGAGGGAATATGTCAGCCCAGTTTTGTTACTTAGTGCTGATTACTGAACACATTAGGTTTAACTTGGTTACTCATTGGATGGCACGGTCATATTTAGACACTGGAAAGTGGAAGTACAATGTCTTTATGACTGTGTATCTATTTCTGTGATTTCAGTTGGTCTTTCATCTGGGGATGGATTGTCTAGTTACATTATTTGCTACATTTGTTACAATGTGACATACAGTATATTACATTGTGACTTATATTAGTTGCAAATTGTATACATTTTCTTGTTTGCAGAGTTGATGAGGTAAATTGGACCAAGTGGAACTCAAATTTAGGAATAATCAATGAAGATCCTGGAAATTGTGGAATGATGAAAAGTCCTCTGAATGCTTCATTTCGAATATCAAGAAGTAAGGAACAGACTGAGATGATGGGGTTGATTTACTAACCTTATAAACACGCCACGAACAAGTATACACCTCTGTAGTGTGTTCCCTCCCAGCATGATCTATTGGTGGAATCTAGACACTTTTGTAGTGTGTACACACCCAGCAGGTGTATTGTGCAAAGCCCTGCATAAATTGCAAGGTGATGTTGTGTAAATTAGCTCTACGTTGTGTTGCTTGCGTTGATGAATGCAGGAATGTAAATGCATGAGCTAACCATTTTTGTCTAAACTGTGAAGCAGCATTATATATGCCTCATGTGCATGATTTTTCCATATATGGCATTAGTGGAAATATGCTTTTAGAGACTTGCATGCCGCTATTAGAGCGGCGTGTAGCCTATGGCGCATGCTACATGACGAGCACGTACGTAAATACATAAAAACGCGCCATAACGGTGTGAAAATGTGACACATTGATCGTGTTTGGTTGATAAATACGTTTTGCTGTGTAAAAATGCACACGCACCTGGTGCGTGTGTCTGTTTAGGTTAGTAAATCACCCCCGATGTGTTATATTTTACCTGTGACCCGTGTTCTCTGTAACTACTAGTCATTCGGAAATGTCCACCCCTCTTAGCAACCAGGGACATACAGTTGTGTAAAAAAGAAAGCACACGCTTTTTGAATTCTATGTTTTTAAGTATCAGGACATCATACAAATCATTTCGACCTAAACAGGTCTTAGAATTAGGTAAATACAACCTTAGATGAACAACAACACATGACATATTACACTGTGTAATTTTTTTTTTTTACAAACATACAGCCAAAATGGAGACGTTATGTGTGAAAAACTAAGTACACCCTTACTGTTTCCATAGAAATTTAGTCAGGTGCTGCTAATCAAATGCCCTTGGTTAATTGATCATCAGCAAGTGTGACCACTCCTATAAAAGCCAGAAATGTATCATTTTGCCTGTCTGGAGCATTCAGGTGTGGGTTAACACAATTCCGAGGAGGCAAGACAACAGCATTGATCTTAGAGAAGCAATTGTTGCTGCCCATCAATCTGGGAACATATAAATCTAGACATATTTTAGTTGACTATATATTCCCTTTAATAAAGTAAATACAGTGACCGCTGCTTACATTTATATTTTAGAGAAAACATGGAAAACCTTAGTGCCGCACATCAGGGAATTCAGCATCAAAGGAAAGAGAGTGAAAGAACCAGAAGAAACCAATGTGCAGCTGCAGCCCATATCAGAAGGTTTCACCGAACAGGAGTCCTTTGAAGATGGGACAGCTAAGCCACTGTAAACTGGCTGGGCTAATATTCCTCTTTGCGGAGTCAGTCTACAAAATATGACATTACTTGATGTATTGTGAATTATAAAGGCTTTGTACAGACTGATATGTACCTGCATCAGTGTTCAACTGTAACAAACATGCCAGGAACTGACTTTTCATATTACTTTCATATTAAGTAACACTGTGCGGTCACATTACACAAACAGAAAATAGATGAGGTGAGTACAGACACTCTGACCTTTATACAGTGACATCTGCTTGTTGTATGGTTGCTTCAGTCACCGTTATGGTAGCCATACACATTTAAAATTTCGTTTGAACACTCATATGAAATTCTGAAAAATTGTTCGTAAGAGCCTTTGCTCTTGCATCATTGAGTCAACTCATTTCTTTCAAAAGCCCTTTAAAGAAGAACTCTGGGCAAATACAATCTTAACCTTTGCAGTGGGGTTACATTCACAGCCCCCCCAATGCTGCTTTAAGGACTTACCTTAAATGATGCTTCTTGATCCGATCATCCTCTTCCTTCCGCTTGTTTTTAGGAGTCCCTCCAGTGCTGGTGCCAGTTACTGATCCAGCGCTTACTTCTGTGTCTTCTGTGCCCCACGGTGTTTGTGCGTGTGCACGCTGACAGCTGCGTGCATTGACTTACACTGTGGGGTCTATTCACGAAGCTGCCGAGGGTTCTGGCCGTAGCTTCGGCCGATCCTTCGGCTAGCTTCGGCCCCAGGACCCCTTCGGTTCAGTAGAACCGAGGGGGTGCTGTACGGGAAGCAGGCCGATGTACAGCGGATTTCAGCCGATGATTGGCTGAAATTAGCCGTACCAGCCTGAAGTGAATAGCCGAACAGTGTTCGGCTCACTTCACTTCTGATCGGTCATTCACTCGGCTGCCCTCGGCAGCATAGTGAATAGACCCCTGTGTCTCTGTTCTTCTTCCGGCTGAACATCTTTACTGCGCATGTGCCCGCCCCATGATCCTTCATGGCTGCTCGAGATTCTTTAGATCTTCAGCCGGGAGCGGGCAGCGGGGACACAGGTAAGTAATTACCTTTTTGGTACTTTCTAATATTTTTTTTATGTTTTTGCATATATCTTCTGCTTGCTAGCAGTAGATATATGCAAAAAAAATTAGACTTTAATTATACTTTGACCCTTGCAGTGCGGGGGTAGCCCCACTACAAGTGTTAAGATTTTATTTGCCTGGAGTTCTTTAAAATTTCGTGCAGATCTGATACCTGAATGGATCCCCAGACGTAAGTGCATACACTCCTATACCATACGTAATCGTTTAAACAAACAAATGTTCTAATTCTAAATAACACTTTTCCTGGCACATGCACTTTCATTGAGTATGATTTTTTTCCGACTGAGGACCACATTAACAGAATTCTTAAATCAGACAAGAAACTAGAAAAATTGTCCAACCTGTATCTTTAATTTTTCTCATCTTTATTGTCAAAAAGAGTTGACAATTTGTCCCTAATAACTATTACAACATTGAACAAACATTCTGAAAATGAAAGGAAATTCTACCAGTGTATGGCCAGCTTAAGGATTGAAAGAACTGCCAGTCTTTATGTAGCCATACAAAATATAAAAAATAATGGTGGCCTCTCTACCATATCATTATGTTCCATGCCTGTCTACCTAATGGTAAATTAAATGTTCCCAGCATGCCTTGGTATTCTAAGTGGCCTTGTGAAATAACAATACTCCTTGTTGTGCAGATCTTCTGGTGATCATGAACATATCCATGGTGGATATGATAAAAATGTCATTGATAAAGCAATTCAACATTCTGCAATTAAATTATTTTCTGAAATAGGGAAAAGTAGCCCTATAAATACCCCCACCCCCTCCCAGCAGAAAAAAATGCACAGTTTTTTTGAAAGTACTAATTTTTTATGTGGAATTATATATTTTTTATCTAATGATCACATTGATGTTATAATTTAAAAGAGCTGAGATATGTACCTCTTTGACACTCTTACTAGTTCACCTTCTCTTTCTGGGCCTCCTATTAGTTGAGTAAAAGCAAATTGCTCTTTTCCACTACAACCCATGACAGAACAACTGGGGGAGTGTAACTGTCTACCGAGAAAAGGATAGAGACCAGACGTTGCTCATCCCTATCGATCAATACCCAGTGTTTTCCTGGCCCTTACCAGGGTAGGGCAAATTCAGGAAGAAGTCAGTAATGAAGGGTGGCGTTCCTCTTTAGGTATCTGATATCATGAGTAGTCTAACAAGTTCCTGTTATAACAAAAACAGCACTTTGGTTTTAACAGATTTTTCTAATTTGAAACTTTTTTCTTTTAAAGACAAAACTTTTTTTACATTTGTTCAGTTTTTAGGGAATAGGGAATGGTTAAAACCCCCTGACATATATTTTCTTGCTGTCTGCGTCCTGTTGGGGAGATTCCCCATCACTTGCTGTCATCAACAGGAAATGACAGAAGATTTTTCCAAAGTAAGGGAAAGCCCCTCATAGACAGTTGTCACTGTAACACTTGTCCCCATTGAAAGATTTCCCCACTGTTCTTGACACAGTAGCAACTTTTTAGAATTTCCCCATACATTTAATCCCAATGACATTTTAACCCACCAAGTGTATGTTCAACCAAAACCTGTTTTTTTTTTTTCTTGAAAGAAGTGCGGAAGAATGAGTACAGTACATCTGTCTTGTTTGTACTTCTATCCATGGCTCGTTAGAGAGATTTCCCCTCACTTACTGCCCCAGTGTCAATGGTTTCACCACACATAATCTAAGGCAAAATCTCCTCTTCAGCCTTAGGATTTCTCTCCTACAGTTACCTCTCATAAAGTGAAATCACTATAGTATATGGATTCTGAAACAGATGCATCTACACACTTCTAGAGTACTTTTCATGACAATTCTCTCCTGCAAAGTCTGAGCGAAAAAGATACTTTAAGGAAAGCTGGAATGTTTTTTAGTCAACTTTATTTTTTTTTTATGTTTACAATATTATGAACTAAACTAAACTAAATGTTATTGTATATACATTATTTGCATAAAACCTTTGTTTTACAAACAAACATGTATTATAGTGTGCATATGTGATGTGCAGTTTGGAAAGCATACTAGCAAAGACGCATAGAAAGGCCCAGTACTACCAGCTTGCATTTTGGTAGCTTTGCTATACTAATAAAGACATTCCTCTGTATCTGCTAGGAGGGGAATATGTCTGCTGTTAAGGTCATTTTAGTTGTAGAGAGATACATGAGAGAGCTTATGTTTTTGTACTATATATATATA